GCTATTCCGGGCTGACTCTGGAGAAATAACCAACCAGCAGTAAGAGTCTGGGATAAGCATCCTGATCGTCACAGTTATCAAGGATAGCCCCGTGTGATTCCTTACGAAGTTACTCCGTATGGTTGCTCCCCAAACGATGCTAACTTGCTAAGGAGGAGACGGCGGAGTACCTGACTTTAGCGGCCTTTTAGCCCCAGCGGCTTGAACTCTTGTTGGTCACTAAGGGTGTGAACTAAAAAGCCCCTGGGACGACGGCATTTGCACATCATCTTCCCCTCTCCAAGCTGGTCTGGAACCTCTGAGCGCATTCTGTGCGCTTTGAGATTGGAGAGGCTGGAATGCCGCGTTGACTTGACAGTAATGCTATACATTCCTGGCCTCCCTCGCATCAGTGACATGGCAACACTGTTGGTAAACGACAATCAGAAACTCTGATTATTATCAGCAGCTGTGATTATTGAGTGAGCTCGTGCAGGGTGGATCTCCCAGCTTGTGAGGTTCAACTCCCTGCCCCTTGGCCGCCCACCAAGACCTGTTGGACTCGTCACAATTATTGAACGCACTACTCCCGATCACCTCGTTCCTCTCTTCTCTCCTCATCTTTTGGCTTCTCGAAACCTGTCTGCCTTCGATGGTTCATCCTTCAACTCTTTAAACAGGTCATTCCCCGCTACGCTAGCAGCAGTCCAACAAACGCGCTGCCTGCCCATCTTTGGAATCTTGTGGATAAGGAAACCCCTCGCGTCATAGGTTCTCTACCGGGACAAGACATGATCATTCGTCCTTGCGCGATCCTATCGTTTGGCTTTCCAAATCCTTGTCAATGAGGCTTGCAGATTAGTGGATACACGTGCTGCGATCCTGCTGCTGCATTCAATCGCAATCGCGCGCCTCGCCATTGATACAGAACAACCGTCTAAGATGGCAGGGAATCCGCAGCGCCGGAGCTCCAGCTCAGGACAGACTACTACTCCATCTTCCTTACGGCACTGCTTATATCCCTCGGCGGCCGCGGCAATAGAAAGTGGGAGCAAGTCAGTGAGACACAGTTCTAACCCAAAAAGTTTGTTCCACTCCGTGAACCACATCCCTAGCTGGGAGAAGGTAGATCGTGCTAACCTAGTTTCCCTGCCTGCAGAAAGATCTGAACCCCCAAGGCCTCCTGCACTTACGCGAATCAAGGGCAAAATCGATATGGAGACTCCAACGCAGCGAGGCACTGGTGCGCACTTATACCTACCCTCTGCACATCAGATTTAATGTAGTATTAATTCATCTTTAGACATGTCGTGGCTACAGGATGCGTCTCCAGTGGTCAATACCCCGCGCACGCCTCAGAGAGCAAGGTCACGTACGTATTGCGAGGAGTCGAGGATCATCAAGGGACGGGTGCTAATCAAGAATACCTTTTACAGACACTCCGGAACCCAACTCTTCAACAATCGTGAATCCCTCCTCCGCCCTTCTACAAGACCTGCTCAAGGAACAACGCGCATCACGAGGAGCCCGGACTGGCGGGTTGGAAGAATTGGAGGACAGCCCAAGGCGCACGCCGGAGTGGTGCCAAACCCAAACCCAATCTCAGTCTCAGTCTCAAACCCGAACCAACTCCCAGGAAGAACCGGGCTCCGAAAAACAGCAAAACACAAAGATGTCATCGCATGGTAGTGTCAGACGGCCCCCGGAAATGGGAGTCCGAGAAACGGACCAGGTCAGTGTTGCGCGCCGGGTGTCGTTGAATGCCTGGCTGACTGAATTAGTATATCTCGAAAATCAGCAAACAGAACTTCGACCTGAAGCTGGAGATATTCCATCGTGTGCAGCAGTTATTCGCGCTAGAGAAGAAGTTGGAACGAATGCAAGAACTAGAGGACGAGCTCGAACGTATGCGTGGACTGGAGGACGAGGTACAGGAGCTCAGGGCCGCCGAGGAAGATAACCAGAGACTCCGAGAGTCGAACGAGCAGCTACGACAAGAGATTGACAAACGAGACCAAGCTGTTACCGAAGCCGTGGAGCTCATCTGTCAATTGGAGGCCAGGGTGGAGGAGCTTGCGATGGACAAGAATGACCCTCGCTCTTCGACCTCACACCTTCCGTATGATGAATCGGGAGTTGCGACGCCCAGAAACTCTGCTACCCCTGATATTCCGGAAAGAACGTCATCTAGGCGCGGTATTAGACAGTCGGAACGCCGCCGAGTCTCATCGGGATCCCGTATACTCCAGCGCGCGCCGTCCTTCCTGCTTGAGGAGAGCAAGAGCACAGCCGTCCTACGCAGTTTATATGTCGATACGGACGATCATCCTGTTCCTGTACCGACCCCGATCCCTAAATCCGAAAGCATGAATTCTATGACTGAGACAATCGAGCCCGAGTCACCGAGACTGAGTGCTTTGAGCGAGTGCAGCGAGCTAAATATTGACGATACTCCAATTTCGGAAGATGGGTACGACAAGATTGACATTCCAGTACGCCTGAAAGAAACAAGCACTCAATGCACGAATCTCTCTTCTGTCACTTTGCGCATGGCTGATGCTGATATCGTCCATGTAAATCGATGGCTTCCTGAGGAAGCAGATGAGGCTCCAAAAGCTGAAACTACACGGCGAAAGACTCGACGCTTGTCAGACGTATTCAAAGAGCCCCAGTCATCAAGTCCAAGTAGCTCCAGCCGCAAGTCGAAGATAGAGAGTATCTTTGGAAGCGCGCGACTTCCCCAGACGCCAGACACAATGACAACCTCCTACCCGGCATGGGCCAACAGCTCATCTAACAGTACGATTGCAGACAAAAGCCAGTCCGACCTGCGACATTGCCTGACCCGACCACGATCTGCTGATGAGCTAACAGCCAGGCGAAGCTCCATTACCATCGAACCCAGAGAAAGCATGGACATAAATCTAAGCAAAGTCACATTCCCCCGGCCCACTCTTCACGAAGGAGACGAGGACCCTGCGATTTTCCCTCTGAACAGCATCCAGCCCCGTTATGATCATTCTACCACTAATCATACAATTTACTCCGACCACTTCGAAAGGGTTCTTGCCAGGATGGATAAGGACTATTACTCTCCATCCAGGCCAACTACCCGTGATGGAACAACAAGTTTAGGATCTTCGCCGCCATCAATGACCGCCGACGATTGGATCGAGGCTGCCCGTCCCGGCACAAGAAACCGGACAGGTCCTGTTCCTGTCAACTCTCGGCTAGTAGGCGCACGCGCGCCCAGCCAATCCTCATTTCTGGGCCGCCGACACAGCATTGATTCCGCCGTCCGAGAACCAACCCTACCTATTATACAAACAATCAACCTGCGCGCTTTAGAGGACGATGGTGCTCCAGCTGCAGCAACAGAGCCCGAGCCGGAGCCACGTCGCAGAATCAGCCTCCTCCCACATTTCTTCAACCGCTCCTCCAACGCGCGCCGCCTTCAACCCTCCCCCATTTCCGACTCCGATAAGGACGACGGCGCTCCATCGCCAGTCATCCGCAAGACAAGGAACCAACCGCCGCGAGCTCACCGACCACTGTCCGGCGTCGGACAAACGGGCGATTTCTCTGCCTCCGCCAGACCAACAGACGCAGAAGACAGCGGCATGTCGCGTTCCTTCACGGAAGGGAACCTCTTCAGCAGCTCTCTCAACTCACCATCATCATCAACAACTAGGCCCTCATCATCCAATGGCGGCAAAGACCAGCACAAGCGCCGCGGATCCCTCGGCATCTTCGGCTGGATGAAGGGCGCCAGCGCTGGCTTGGGCTCGTCACTAAAGAAGTCGGACGTGCCGCCGCAAACGCAAACTTCAACGTCCTCGTCCAAAAAACCCGAGTCTCCAGTAACGCCGACAATAACACCTTCAGTGTCTGCCTCTACAGGTACAGCTGTGCGCGCCTCTTCCCGCCTCGCGGCATACGATAATGCTACACTCGCCGCGGCGGACCCTCCCAGAAAGCACGCTGAAGCGGCCACAGAGGAGTCCGCCACTTTCGCAACCCGAACGAGGCACCCAACGCGCACTGACGAGCTCGCTGACGAGCAGGGACGTCGTCCGCGTTACATGGAGCGCCGGTCAAGACGGACCTGACCTACTACCAAAACAACAAATCCTCCACATCATCTTAAACATTCAGCGCCATACATCCATCCATTTCGTCTACTATCTAGACCATAATTTACGATTCATTAAACCTCTACGTGAGATGATCATCTACCTTCTGATCTTATGTGTCACGATACCCAATGAGCACGAGTACGAGTACGAGTATGAGTACCTTACGTTTGGCTTTCTGATTTTTTGTCCTTTTGGCTTGACGTCGGATACTTATGTTACGATGCGTCTCTCATTTGGTCTTGTTTCATTATATTCTATTCCCTTTTTGAGTAATCATAACAAGCATTGATGACCATGATGACGACTTGGATTCCCTTCATAACGGCCTATTTACCTTTCCTCTGCTTAACGTACCTTAACAATGGTATAGCCTATGGTGCTACCCTCGAGAATCGATAGAAGAGCGGCTTACATCTGGAACTATCAGAAGTAGAGCTCAAGAACTCTAGACAGTTTCCTCTTGTGTAGTACAGAGGGCCACAAAGCATCCCCGTTCACAGGTTACTACATCTTTGCCCTGAAGTAGGAGTAGGTCCGAATAATGACCATGTTGTGGGCCATTTCCCAAGCTCGGTGTGTGCTAGAGTTCCCAGCAATTGCTGTTCGTGGCGGCCCAAGCCGGATGCATTTCTCAGTCACGCTTTGAATATACTTTTATTTCCTTAATTATATAGTTATTAACCCAAGAATCCAACCGAGTGATATGAATAACCGATAACCTACGCCCTGCGCCACGAGGCAAACTCCGTGATAAACGCCGAAGATAGTAATCAATACCAACTATTCCCTTCCTCGCCCAGTCTCTTGCCCGTCGGGTTCATGGAGATGATCCTCTGGCCGGGAATCGTCTCATCCGTAAATGCCGATTCAAAGATGCCCGATATGGCCCGTCTCCCTAAAACCTGGAAAGAATCATACCCCTCCAGCTCCCCATTACACGCCGCCCACTCCTTAGACAGCCGCGGACTGGACCCATCACCCAGATCACACCAGCGCGTGACGACAATGGCGTGCCGGAACCGCGACTGCACGCCTGCCTCACGCTGTTCCGTGAGCTTGACCTCGATCAAGTATTCCGACGGGCAGTCCGGGCAGCGGCGCATGGGGCGGCAGTGGCCGCAGAGGGTCGCTATGGCGTTAGGGTTATGCACGTGACGATGCGCCATGTCTTTGACGCGGTGCTCGAGACCCTGCAGCCCTTCTGTACGTCGGGAAACAGGAATGTGTCCGAGCGCGCATTTGGCGGCAGACATCAGATCGCCATCGCGCCAGTGCGCGCAAGCGGAGAAATATGGCCAGTAGTCTTCGCGGGAGTATAGGAGCATCCGTTGCGAGGAGGGAGGAAGGCCTGGTTCGGCGAACGTCTGAGATGTTACCCGCATCAGAAGACGGCCATTATGTACGTGGAAGCGGGATTGATGAGACCAATCGTCGCGGCGCCAGCGGCGACTGAGGGATAAAGTCGGATCTGAGAGGCCGTAGATGGGAGATTTGAACCGGTATGGGCGGGTGGCAAGCTGAACGAATGTAAAGGGGATTGTGCGGCCGTGGGTGATGCGGTGACGGGGAGGAGGGCGGAGATTATTATGAACATTAGGGCAGTCGAAGAGGGGGTTCAGGACTTTGGCAGGTTGGAGGGTTTCGCGGCCTTCTTGTGTTCGGAGGTGGAACCGGCCGCAGGGGAAGCAGAGGAGGTGGTGCGGATAGTATCTGTCCTGGGAGACGAGGAAGTCGGCGCGCTCGTCGGTATGCTCGGGCTCGTTGAGCCAGCGCCAGGGGTATGGGTAGAGGCGGGCGTAGAGGGTTCTGCTGGAAATGGCGAGTCGGGCGCCATCTGCCGGGGAGAGTTGTCCGGCGATTAGCATCCAAAGGTCGTCCGGAAGACTGGCAATGAGCGGTTCGCCCGGTGGCCGGGTATCGCGGCCATAGATATTATCGGCATCGCTGTCGGTCTGAGGTGATTCAAGTCAATGCCGCGCTCGCGGTGCCCAGGGAAAAAGTTGGAACTTACGTCGAAGTTTTGTATGCCAATGGCATGGATAACGGTCGTGTGGTCGAGGGCTTCGCCTAGTTGGGTATCCTGCTGAGCATGCACTTGCCGATACTTTTCATTGTGAGCTGCAAGGGGTGCGAGCGTCGGCACGGGAGGCACATCTTCGTTGTTGGTTAGGGTGGTGGTTGTGGAGAGGGTCGTCGAGGCCGTTGTCGAGGCGCTAATCTGCTTGCGCAGGACTTGCCGGGATTTCTTGGGCCGGAGAGCTTTTGAGAACAAGCCGCGTATACCCTGCTTCTCTTCGGGCATCTTTTGGCATTGGAATGTGAGAAATGGAGACAAGCTGCTCTAGTATGGAAAAAAAGAGAGGTCCCCGATAAGCCGACCCAAAGCGGAAGTTCGGCGATGACGTGGGATCGTTCTGATAATCAAACAGCGCAGCCCCCGGGATCTCAGATGCTCGTTGGGCTCAAATAACGTCTATTTGTAACCTGAATGCGCATCATGATTCTTATATTCTATTTTTACAAAGGCGAGACGGACAGTTGCCGACTCCGGCGGTTCCGAGCATCAGCCAACGCCGAACCATGGGCAGTCCAGGGACGATGATCGCAACACTCTCGGTACCTTTAGACTTCTACTACCGCATGGCCCTCATGGAGAGTCCAGACCATGTCACACAACGGCCCCACGCTACGAATGAATCATACATAGCTTCAGCCTTCAGACATGGGATGTTGTGTCAATATTCAGCACATTGGCACAATTACACGTCACATCGGGATATATCCAACAATTTAACATGACATGCGCTCACGATTTAAGCAAAGCGCTTCTCAACGGCCTTCCAGTTGATCACCTCCCAAATCGCCTTGAAGTACTCTGCCTTGCGGTTCTGGTATTGCAGGCTATACGGGTTAGCGGGGTAGATGAACGAAACAATCAAAGGCACTTACTAGTAGGCGTGCTCCCAAGCATCAATACCGAGGAGGGGCTTGAACTGTCCAACAACGGGGTCCTGGTTCTGTACCGGCGCATTAGATTGCTGTTCTCTGACACCGAGATGAAGAACTTACCGCGTAGGTCTTGATGGCGATGCTGCCGGTCTGCTTGTCCTGGACCAACCAAGCCCAACCGCTTCCCTGGATACCGGCAAGGGCGGTGTTCATCTGGCCCTGGAACTTCTCGAGGCTCCCGAAGCTGTCGTTGATGGCCTTGGAGAGGGCACCGGAAGGAGGCTCACCACCACCGGCATTCTTGGGAGCAAGGTTCTCCCAGAAGAGGGTGTGGTTGATGTGACCACCGCCGTGGAAGTTGATCAGGGGCTTAAGAGCAATCTGAGCGGCAATGTTGTTGCTCGCCTGAGCTTCCTGGAGCTGCTCGATAGCGGTGTTGTAGCTGTTGACGTAGGTCTGGTGGTGGTTCTTGTGGTGCAGCTCCATGATTTTGCCGGAAACAGCGGGCTCAAGAGCGCCATAGTCGTCTATACAATAAGAGTCAATTGATCTACCCGACAAGGTAAGAGGACGTGCAACAGGTGCACATACAGGCGAGATCGGGCAGAGTAGCCTTGCCGCGGGTGAAGGTCAAGGGCGCAGCGGAGGAAGAGCTGGCGCGAAGGCCAGTGCGAAGGGAAGTGCGGATGAGAGAGGCCATGATTACGGATTGATTATAGTATTACAGCAAAGAGGACACTCAATTAATGAAGACTTTGAGGAAAGGAAGAAGAGAAGAACCAGAGCGGAGAGCTCGACGTCATTTATTTTGGAGAGCTCCGTCATGCTCCGTCCGCCTCGGAGCCGCGTTTTGCCGCCCCGAACTTTTCTATCTAGACAGACACTGGTCTATCTTTGTGCACTTTTCATCTCGAGTTCGCGCATCAACTTATTCAGCTCAGAGTCTCATCATGGACTCCGCGGCCCATAAGCGAAAATATGCCGACGTGAGCTCCGACGACGACGAAGCCGACTCTCCTCCCCGCGCATCTTTCCGAGGCTTCAACCGTGCCGCATCGCGTTCTGAATCTCCTCCGACAGGCGGTCTGGGTCTGGGGATGGGCTCGGGGATGGGCCGTGGTCGTGGTCGAGGCTTAGGCATGGGTCAGAATGCTTGGAGTAACAATGCGACCAAGCAGACCTCCGGAAATGGCGCGGCCAATTCTTTCGGTGCCCGCATGTTGGCCAAGATGGGTTATGTTCATGGCCAGGGTCTTGGATCAAGTGGGCAGGGTATCGTGAATCCGATTGAAGCTCAGGCTCGTCCGCAAGGTATTGGTCTAGGCGCGGTTCGCGAGAAGAGCAAGGCAGCCCGTACCGAGGAGAAACGCGCCGCAGCCCTGCGAGGCGAATCCGTCGAGGAGAGCTCCGATGAGGAATTCAAGAGGAAGAAAAAGAGGCAGCAGAGAAAAGAAGGTGGGCGTGCTGAGGGCCAGGATAAGCCTATGGGGAGGAAGAAGCCCCAGTTCCGTACTGCTCGCGAAATCGAAGCGGACATGGAAGGCCTCGAGGTGCCCAACGTGCTAAAGTCCCTGATCGATGCGACGGGCAAGGAACAGAGAGTATTGACCTCCACAGCCGGTCTCATGGCGCCCGTGGACTTTGTGAACACAGAGCAGAGCGAAGCATACAAGATTGCACGCCGTGCTCGCCAGGACCTAGAAGCCTTCGCCGACGAATGGAAAGGTTTGACGGAGAGGAAGCAATACATTGAACAAGACGAGGCTCAAGTTGTGGACCAATTAGATACGAACCAGCGCCAAATTGATCAACTATCAGGCCTGGTTGCCGCCTTCGGGGCTCTTGAGGTCATTCCCGAGGAGCGCAGTGACAGCCCGCAAGCGAAAATCGACTATGTTACTGACCAGCTGGAGTCGCTGGAAATCCAATACAAGGCAGAAATCGACGAATATAGGCTATGGGAGACTGCGGTTGCCGCGCTCCATCCTCTGTTCCGAGAAGCCATGGAGGATTGGGAGCCGCTCAAAGCCCCTACCTTCCTCGTTGCCAATCTACGCCGTCTACAACCCCTTCTATCTCGAAAACCTAGCGATGGGCAACTCGCGCAGCGCTCGTCGACATCTCCTTATGAAACCATGATCTACACCTTATGGCTTCCGCGCGTACGATCCGCTCTCCTCAACGACTGGGACGTCTTCAACCCGTCACCCGCCACCACCCTTATCGTCTCATGGAAAGAACTCTTACCTCCCTTTGTCTATGCCAACGTCCTCAACCAGCTCGTGGTCCCTAAACTCACAAACGGCCTCAAATCCTGGAAACCCAAACGCTCCTCTTCGTCTCAATCGCAACAAACCTCTCGCGTGCCCTGGTGGCTTTTCACATGGCTTCAATACCTTGATGAGCGACATACAAACCCAAAGCAAGCCACAGGCCTCCTCTCCGACGCCAAACGCAAGTTCCGCGGCGTACTAGACACCTGGGATCTTAGCGCCGGCCCAGCGCCGGGCTTCGATCTCTGGCGCGACGCCCTATCCTCCGAATTCGAAATTTGCCTGCGCAATCATCTCCTCCCCCGCCTCGCCGCCCACCTCCGCACCGACTTCGACGTCAACCCGCAAGACCAAGACCTCACTCCCGTCGAAAACATCTTCAAATGGAAAGACTGGTTCAAGCCAAACGTACTCGGCCTCCTCTTTGTCGCCGAGTTCTTCCCCAAATTCCACCAAATCCTCTACGTCTGGCTCACCAACGACCCGAACTACGAAGAAGTCGCCGAGTGGTTCACCTGGTGGCGGTCTCAGTTCCCGTCTGAAATCAACGACCTTGAGATCGTAGATGAGGAATGGAACAAGGCGCTCCGCACCATGGACTTGGCTGCCCAGCTGGGTGACCGCGCTGCAGAAGAACTACCTCCTCCCTCCTCCACCTCCAAACCATCTAAACACACACAAGCCGCATCTCAGCCACAACCATCAATACCGTCAGAACCACCAGTCACCCGCAAACCAAAAGTCATCGAAGAGGTCGCCTTCAAGGATATCCTGGAAACATGGTGCGCAGAGGAGGGCCTCATCATGCTCCCGCTACGCGAAGCACATCCCCAAAACGGCCAGCCTCTATTCCGCATCACGGCCAGTGCAACGGGCAAAGGTGGTGTTGTGGCGTTTATCCAGGGCGATGTCGTGTGGGTGCAGAATAAGAAGGATAAACAAGTATGGGAGCCGATGGGGTTGGAGGAACGGCTCGTGGAACGTGCTGAGGGGAGATAGACGGGTTGGACAATCATCAAGGATGTGCTCCGAAAGATGGATTAATGTTGCTTTTGTCCACGTTTTGGGATTCAAGCTAGTTACTATAGATACCTATTATGACATATGATACCACGCAGGGATATAGAATATCCCAGACATTTTGAGAAGCAATGCAAATCCGCACCCCTTTTCTGGTAATCAGGCCGTCAATATAAGGCCAATTGTTGATCTTCCGCCTCTCGTACGGCGTGTAGTCCGTGCTATGGTGTAGTATCTCGTTTTTGACGGTGATCTTGCTTAAGGAAAGAACTATTTCGGTAACGCCTACTTTACAAGGGATATGGCCAGTTAATTTGTATAGTCTTGCTTGTGCTGCACTTTCCCTGCTTATCTTTACTAGAACCCTCTTCAATACAATTCAATACAAAGGAGAATAACCATCCATGCTTGCTGTATCCATTACCAAAGTACAGAGTACCGGGCAGACAATCTCCAACAATCACTCAGCAAAGAATAAGAATTCACAGATCTTCTTTTCTAGACTCTAGGCTCATCAAGACTCAGGAAAACATGAACAGCTGCTAACATCTTGCAGGTTGACATAATATGCTCATGTTCGTATGTTCTATGAATTTTGTGGTGTTGGAGTTGTAACCCATAATGCTTGCTCAATAGCAACATGCGGTCTTCCTCAGCTTAAGACAATGTCAACACAATGCGACATGGTTCGACAAGTTGAATTTCCAACTTACTTAGCAAGTTCATTATGCACGCCCTCAATGTAGTCCATAGCACCTTTAGTTTCCCACCAAGCCTCCAGCGAGTTGAAGAGCGAGTATTGTGCTTCCTCCTTGCTGCCAATAGTATACATGCCAGGATGAGAACCGTCGATTGCGGTAACCAAGGCCTCCCAAATGAATTTGTTTCGCTTGAGTGCAGTTTTGTACAACTCCCGAATGTGCCTGTCCAGCAACTTGATAGTTGCTGAGTGGTCATCGCGCTGACGAAGCTGCTGGTTGTTGGCAATGATAGGGCTGACCGGGGCTTGAAGACGGATCTCATCTAGGATCTCCCGTGGGACTTTCGAACCGGCATACGCTGTGAGTTTCTCAAGCTCCTTTAGATCAAGAAGCAACTTGACCTTTAGCAGGGTCAGACCCACCAAGTGGTCCAGACCGGGGAAACTCTTGGGATCTTGAAGAAAGCTCATCTCTTCGAAGACATCTGCGTTCTTGATATCCAGGTACGGTTGACTCATGTCACCCCAATCGTAGTCATCTCTTTCAATAAGCCACCACTTCATAAAGTCGTAGGACTCCTGGTCCATGTTCAAACGAAGCATGATCGCAGGCACAAACGAGCGAATGCCCATGTTATCACCCCGACAAAGGCGCAGCATATCCATATAATGATCAAGCTTTTCCTGCAGGCCCTGTTTCGTTCCAACAATTCCAACTGCTTCCGCCAAGGTAAACCGAGCTCTCATATAGTCTCTGGTTTCGAGGATGCCCCAGAAGCGACCTGGTCCGGTCTCGAAAGCATTGCCCCAGCTGAGATCATCATTGGGCGTATTTCGAATCTTCTCTTCCTCCAGCTGACATCTGTTGCGTGCTTTCACGACATCTTTGCAGGCGGACTTGTGCTTGTTGCGATGTGCTGCTTGATGTTCCCTGCCGCAGTACAACATGACTTTGCAACCACTGCAACGCATCAGGTTTTCAGTTTTGCCGCATTGGCCGCAGCCCTCCCAGTTAGGTAAATCGGAGCTCATAATGAAAATCGTTTTTGAGTAGTGGCAATGTTGACGAGGGAAGGAAAAGGAAAGACCCCTGGCCGTGAGTTTTGGGAAGATTAAACGAGCGTTTCCATGGTTTGCATGATGCGCCCTACAGGCGGTAGTTCCTGTCACGGACGTATATCTGAGACGACAGCAGTGGTATGGAAGAACTGACAGAGAATCGACAGACGCTCCGTTGCAAACAGATCTGTCGAGTGACAGAAGTGGTAGCTGAACATAGAAATGAATAAGGGAAGGTCATACTCCATCATTAAAAGTACCTTTGCACGTAACGTAGTATACCTAGTAGATCGCAAACGAATATTGAACCATTAAGAGGCGACCAGAAGGTCGTAACTATATACATGCGGGTCAAGTCTTCTGGCAAGTCAATCGCAAAAAGCAGAATTATGTACTAGTTTGAAGCGCATTTGAGACAAACAAGAAGATATCGTCATTCGTGCCACTCCTCCCATTCCTTTTCTTCACCTAGCAGGTAACCCAGCAAGCATATCGTCGTCGTAGAGGCATCATGACTTCATGCCCTGTTGGTGTATTTCTCGTTGAATGCATTGACAGCTAGGCATAGGTTAGCGGATGTGTCTTGGAGGTGATTCTTAAGGCGATAGCTCACCAATGGCAATCTGTCTATACAGCCAGTTCCGTGCACTCTCATCTTGTACAGGGATGAACGGTCCATTGGCGCCACCCTTGAGCATGATGCTCATACCAGTGCGCTCTTTGGAGATGGTTTGTATGTCCGTCAATCGTATGTCCCAATCGGTCTCGAGCTTCTTACTACGCACGAGCATGATTCGGTCGTAGGTCAACATAATAAGCATATCGCGCCCGGGAAGTTCGAGATGGGCGATGTAATCCTCATTGAAGTACTTTCCGTCATCGGCTGTCTTGAGCCAGAGCTGGCCGAGCGCTTCCCGCTGGGAGTATGGCCGGACGATGCCGTCCATGCCGACAAAGCGGGTAAGGCGAACTCGATCGAGGCCTTCTGCATCAAACACCGTTGTGGTGTTTCGTACACCTTCCGCAAGATCTAAATAGTTGTTAGTGATTATTCTCGTGAATTGTTTCAGAATACTTACTGGAAGCAAGATCAAAGGCGCCAATGGCTGGCTTGGTAGCCAACCCAAGGAAACCTTTTCCGACACCCTTGAAAAATCCTTGGATACCTTCTTTCTCTGCGCCATGGAGTGGATGCCGCGCGATGCCCTCAATGCCACTGACAATACTGTTTCCGAATGCTCTACCACCAGCCGTAATGCCGTACAGTGCATGCTTTGGCCGATTGCGAGTCTTAGACATCCGTCTTTCATTCTGGAATTCCTTGTCAAGCGTTGCAGCAGCAAGGCCTTTCGACATGCTACCTGTGAGCTTAGAAATACTATCCGAAAAACCAAAGACAGTATTCTTCGCGAAGCTCCCAAAGCCTTTAGCAATACCATAACCTAGCTCTTGCGGCCGATCTGTCATCACGAGGCCTTGGTACGGCTCGTAGAAGATCGCCGCCACTCCAGAGCTGACGGTATTGAACAAACCAACAGGATTTCCAAGGAAATCCGCAGATCCGAGAACAACGTGAATTTGCCGGATAAATTCCTGGGTGTAGTGCCTCTGGATGTTGGTGGCGAGGACAGGGAACGAGACACGTGCATTCTCTATCATCAGGGCATTTAACTTGATAGGCGCATCATTCACATTGCCCATTGACATTGTCATCACATCGACAATAAACATCAAGGGGTTGGAAGGCTGCAATGTATCCTCAACATTGACTCTTTCAGTGCGCATGAAGGAAATATCAAGCTGCATAGGTTGCAGATGCAGGAGCTCAAAGTATACATCCTGGGCAAGGCCTTCTGTCTGTGGCTCCGGAATATTCAATTCTTCTTCACAGAGTTTGTCTTCGTTCTTTCCAGACCAAGCTGCACCGGACGCTTTTGTGAAGTCAAGCATAGCCATAATGAAGTCCTCGTCCAGTTCGAGTGTCATCTGCTGGAGAAGCAGTGTGGCATACTTTATGTAAAGTACACCATACGAGTCATCCTTGACGCGGGTAATCATAGTATGGAAAATGGGATGGGCCTCCATTTCTTTGCCGGTCTTCGGAACAACACTGGGGTACAGCAGCATTGGGAAAATTCCGCCGTAGAGTTGGTTGTCAATCTGAATCCATTTGATGGTGGTGTTCAGCGTCTGATACGCCTTGGACTCCTTGAACTTGACCTCGATATCACGGAACGTCATGTAAAGCAGCTCCTTCATCTTTTGATTGATCAAAGAGATGCCAATACCACCAAGATGAAGCTGGGCCTTGAAGTTGACGTCCGAGTCGAACTCCTTGACTTCAAACCCAGTATTTACGCTTGTCTGAGAGGTCTGCGATCTCTGCTGTCGGTATATACTCTTCGATGGTTTGAAATTCGATAGAACCAAAGTCTGTGTAGGTCCATCCGCAACAATGTTGATGTCAATGATCTTTTGCGGCTCTCCATGCTGGGCGGGTGGAATCCTCATAGGTATCAAGTTTCCGATCTCGGCAAGCCTGATGCGCCGCTCTTTGCCCTTGCACGCCAACACCAGGGACTTGTTCTTGGTCGCAGGGAAATCCCAGGCGTACGGCATGATACTGCGAGGAGGTAGACGGTAGCGGATCGGTCTCCAGGTATTCGTCCGGTCTTCCTCATCATCTTCCAAGTTCGGATTCTGCATTGCATTAGTGATTGCCTTGAGATGTTATGTTTGATGCGGAATCAGAATACATACCGCCTGATAAAACATGAAATCGATATCACTCTCGTTGCGCATGGAGAATGGCCAGTTGCGGTTCTCGAGACTTAGATGGACGAAAAGGGTGGCAGCTTCCATAATGACATCAATCTTGATCAGCCGTTGTCGTTGGTTCTGTCTGGCCAGCTTGACATGTACCGTTCCAATATCTGCGATATTGAACGGGGAGGACCACTGGTTGTTCACACCAGGGAAACAGAGGCAGAGCTGCTTCTCGCCAGTCTGGCGCAAAAAGTGAAGAGGTACCAGATCACCACCTTTGATGTTTGTGACGTTCGAAGAGCCTGGTTCTCTGACGAGAATGTCCTCCTCAAGCTTGTTTTTCAACACGAAGCGAGGTGCGATTGTGACGATCTTGGTCAGCTTGTATTTCCCTTCACCTTCTGCGACCGACACACCCGCATGGTATTCTGATCTACCATCAGTGTCGGGAAGGACAACTTCGAAAGTGCTTCCAATAGCTTCGAAACTTTGCGGTTTGCTCCAAGAAGAATCGCCTACCCTTAGTATGGATCGGTTCTTCTGGTCTTCTGTAGGATATGAGTACATGTACGGACGAACCCGTCTTTGCCTCGTGCTAGCTTCGGCCCTTAGACCTTGCCCCGCTGCGGAGCGAGCAGATTGCATAAAAGCCTTGCTTTGCACCTCCATCGTAAGACCTGTCCTGTTCAATATGAGATATGGGCTGTACACCGAGACTCTGAACGCCCCTCCACTGTCCGGTACATTGTAGAAATGCAGTTTCAATTTCAGTGACAGGCCCCGCTCATCTTTCAAAGACAAGGTATGCTCTCTCCTGAAATCATGCGCATTCCCGTTGATAATGGAAAAGTCGCTTTGTTTGAATACCGTATCCTCGAGGTCAACGCTGAGCAATAAGAGGTGTGCCAATTCAACGACGTGGACCGGGCTAACACCACCCTTGCGCAGGAAGTTTGTCCAGTCTTTCCTCGTATTCTTGTCATAGATGCGGTACTTGAAGTCGTAAGGTAGCAGGTTCTGAATCTCAACAGGCGCGAAGACCCGGATCCGCATGTACGGATAGATCTTTGTGAGTGGGTCCTTCGCATTGAAAGTGGCGTTGGTCTGGAAGTAGAATGGAGGAGCTTGCTGTCCGCCCTCGCTCAAGCATTTGATGGTACGGGTAGGACGGCGCATGAGATCTTTCCAGTGTAACTGTTCGTGCGACCAATCATATCCAAAGCCCTGATCGGGTCGGATAACGATAGAATGCATAAACGCAGCTCCAACAGGCGCAGGTCTAGCCTCGCCAGGGAGTATCTTCTCGATCTTCAGAAGATGGCCGTCTTGCGGGTTAAAGATACCGAGTTCCACCGGTATTTGCGTATTGTTCTCAACAAGTAGTGGGGACCGAATTGTAATGTACTTCACATTGTCAGGACCCAGCGTGACCTCGACTAGGAGTCGATGGAGTACAGCGTCCTTTTTGGGTTTCAGGTTGTACAGCATCTCGCCTTCCCGAACAACGGGTATACGAGTGACACTGTCGAATCCACTACCTTCCAGCTTTACGCCGACGAGTCCAGCTTGACCTTCTGGAGCAAGGGTTTCACGCATGGATGTCGAGTCCTCAAACCGCCAAGGATATTCTTCACCGTCAGCCAGCTTAGCAGCCGGTCCTTCCTCTCCTTCAGCAACATCAGCCCAAACATGGAGGTCAAAGCCGGTGTAATTGCGGATCCGATAAGGTGCATCGGCCCCTCTTGGCTTTGAGAGCACATCCTCATCGGTATTGAAGAACTTGAACGATTTGGACGCGAGGTCTATCGTAGCAGACGTGACTGTCAGCTCCATCGTTTTGTGGGAGTACACGTCAACCGAGAATACTTCGGGGTGGACTTCCTTGGCCATGTGAATGCCCAGTTGCCAGGGCTCGATGAGGGGTTCCCATGCCGACTTGGAAAAGTTGTAAACGTTGACAAAGGTGTCAAAACTGGTATCTGCGGTAAGAGTCGACGACCAATCACGAGCATCAACATTGAACTTCTTGACGCTCCAATCTAGCAAGGGGAGATCATGCAAATCGCCGATAAGGATGACTCTGGCTCCATCAACCTGAGCTTTAAGCTCCTCTCGTTTCAAAATCACGGAGCGTTGGGTGACGGGCTTGCGATCAATGGCGTTCACTGCAGCACTTGAGCGCCGGTGCGACCTTTTCGTGGCAGCTGATGACGTTTGTTTGCCAACCGATGACTTCCTTCTCGACCTCGAAACAGATGTGCCTTTGTTTTCTGGTAACGCTTTAATCTCGCCAGATTCATCCGGCAAAGTCCTTTCGGCCCGCATCTCTGAGGCCTTATTGACAATTTGCACTGCCATCAAGATATCTCGAAGGGAGAGACGTAAGACAAGCGGTTCGACGTGAATATCAATGGACGTTAGTGATGCGCCTCTGTCCTGTGGGCGACTATCCATCGATAAATCGAGCGTGAAATCATCCAGAATCCGAAGCCTGCTCGTCTCGAACTTGTCCATGCGGCAGAGGAACATTCCGACTTTGCTTACGTGAAGGGTCGAAACATTCTGTTGCGAAAAAAGGACCTCCTTCGCCCCGAGAACTATAGCCTCAGTATGAGGAATTGCGGGGTTGGCGATAGTAATAATCTGAGCATCAACTAGGCTCACTCTAAACGAAATTGCCATCTGGCTTGGTGCCGTGCGTTCCTCTTCGAGTGAGGGCGAGCGTAAAGATGCGTCAGTGCTGTCCGCCATACTAGACCTAGGCTCATCTTCTTCCAGAGATTCTTCATCCTCCTCATCCTCCACGGGCTCGTTTGTGGCAAAAACAGCGTTGGCAAAACACTGTAGTGCCGAAAGGTAATCTAGCGCCAGTATGATCCTGGGGCTATCAATAGTCAACATCGCGATAAGCTGTTTGTCAGGCCCGGGTGATATAGAGACGCTAGCCATGAACTGCTGCTTGACATCGTTGTTGATCAGCGACATAATTTTTCTGAACTTATTCGTCTCCTGTTTCCGACTATCACGGATAGAGAACGAATGGATCAAAAGCTCCGACTCGAGTGCACCGTCTGTTAGCATGCGCAGTTTGACACGAGTGTCATTGAGCGAGAACTTAGATAGGCTGGAATCGTCAAGACTACCAATAGGCGTGTCGTCTTTCCCAAGGATAAGCTCAAGTCCCACGCTATCTGCTTTGAAGATCATGTCAAGCCGGACCCAACTTTCTTGTTTACCATTGGTATCTGCAGTTGCTACAGCTTGCTGGTTTGTACTTTGAACAGAGCTGGATTGTGCATCTTTTCCGGACTCGGTCAGGGAAGGAAGAGCTTCCATTGCCTCCAATTCCTGCTGTTCGGAATCAGTCACAAAGGCATTGGGTGCGGTCCTGCTTATGTCAAGAAGGAATTTGAGTTGCTTCTGCGAAACTCGGAGGTTAATGGGTGACATTGTCCCTTCGATTTCCATATCCGGGCGTGGATTATCCGGCTGATGCTCAAGGTAACATATACTGAAGTCAAGGTTGACCTTTTGGATCATTTCGAGCTCTTCTACAGCACCCCCAGCGTAATGGAACTTAGATGTGAGGCGAATATTCCGGATCCCTGTGGATATTAAATTCACGGCGGGACTGTCTGGCTTCTCTTCAAGAGGCACGAACGTGTTTTTGGCATATATTTCACCTAGGTGAGCAGTCACCGTATCATACGGTCGATCCTCGCTCATAGTGCCAGGGAAAACCAATATCGGGGTCATAACAACCACGTCGAAGCGCATTCGAGAGGCGTTTTCCTGCAGTTGGTTGGCTTGGTTGGCCGCGGCTTGTCGGGCAGCGTTGAAAATGGCTTGCATCTTGCCAAACTTCACCAGGAAATTGATGATCTTTCGATAAGGTTCTTCGAGGAAGTTGATCTTGATCGATCCCGATCTTAAAAAGACTTCTGAATCATAGCCTGGGTAGTCGAAGCTCTCAGAGTCAAAAGTTTGGTATTTGAAGTCGGCAAAATTGTCACCCTCGATTGTCAGGAGCCTCCTTAGATCGGAGCTCTTCTTTGCACCAGTATTGACATCATCTATCAATGTCAAGCTTCCAATGCGAGATTGAATAAGCATGGTCCGACCAACAAGGAAAATCCCCACATCTGCCGTATTAAGACTGAGTGTAGCGAGTCTAACCCCGTCGTTGTTTAGGATCAGAGCAATACTCTTCATGTCAGCCTTGATGCGGATCTTCCCCTCTTGTTGTGGTTGCTGTTCCTCAGAGTCGGTGTCCTCAACGGTGCGTTCTGCCTGAGCACCTTGACTTGGTTGCTGTGGGTTTGTAAACGTGAGAAGAATGAAGTCCAAAAGTGTCAGGAGCGTTTTTCTCGTAACGACAAGGTTGATGGTTGACACAGAGATGTCAAGATTCATCGCCACTCCCTCATATGTTGAATGAAACTCTGGGGACTCGGGTTTCACTCGAACAAATTTCAGATAGAAAAGATCTTTGTTGTCGTCCGCATCGAAACCCGTTGAGGAGATGATTTTCTTGAATTCTGGGACCGGATTCTCCTCTATGTAGTCATCTACGCTGAGAGACTTCAAAATCACTTCCGCCACCATGTCAAAGGGTCGCATATAGAATTCTAATGCAAATCCTTCAGCAACGAGTTCAGCCAGCAGCTGTTCGCGAAGGGGGTCGGTAGAATCCGACCGGAACAGGGAGCCACGAAGGCAGCCGACAGTGAACTTAAACTCGAAATCACGACGATGAATGTCAGGAAGCTTGTCCACACTTTTACTAGTCTGGTCATTGTCTTCAGTATCCGTCTCTTCGTCGTCCACAACGGGAAGTTCTCTTTGGCTGAACGGTTGAAAAGAGGAAGATCTGGCCCGAGTGTTACTTATGGACGTTCCCTGTTTACTCTTGGGGGGGCTCGTCTCCTGTACTTCATCATCAAAGCGCGGAATGGCGATGTCGATTAGTTTCATTAGCCCCTTGTATTTAGTGTCCGACATTGACGCATGAAGCTCGGGAAGATGGCCTGATATCCGCGTTCGCGTTAGTTCAGTCAGTTTTGGCACGATGCACATTTCTAAGACGAAATCGACATTGATGCGGTCAATGATGTGTAGGTTTTTCGACTCGACATCCGGCCCAAGCTGGGCTTTGGTGGCTTCAATCCCGGGACCTATAACGACTTGTGTGGAGTCAAGCTTTATCAAGAACCTGTCGTAAAGCAGGTGTTCCAGCTCTTTATAATCGCCCGTATCATACTGTCGCTTCTGCTTTGACTGAAGATCCCTCATCGTCTGCCTGTCCACTAGTTCACTATTGACGCTAGCATGACCGGCATCGACAATCAGGCACAGTGAGCTTTCCTGGGTGATACTTTCTGGAACGATGATTAAAGGAGCGTGGACATCAAACTGCGCATCGACCTTCTTATGCTCCTGCAAAGCGAACTCCAAACCTGCGCGGGTTTGCTGTCGAATTCCTTCCACGGTTGCACCGGCGGAATCAAGGATGGCGCCAATGGATTCCATGTGCCGCTCAGGTGGTCTGAAGAATCTCGTAATCTCCACAATAAACCTAGGGTTGTAGATGACCTCGATACTTTTCAGCTTTACTTTGACAGCTGAATCGGCGTCGCTTTCCAGGGGATTCTGCTCAAGCTGCAGATGGAACAAGCTATCTTCATCTTCCAGCTCTTCAGCGCCCTCCTCAGAGTCAAACTCTTCACTGCTGGATATCTGTGACAAGCGATGCTTCGGCTCTGGAAGTGAGTCCTTCACTTTCACAATCTGCGGATACAGAGTGCCTTCGGTTGTTCCATCGTATACTCTCAAGCCCCCAAGATCAAGGTCCAAAAATAAAGAATCCGGGCGTTGCAATGCTTTGGCCCTGAAGTTGTCGAACACAAACTTCATGATCTCATTTGCAGCCCCATGGGGACCGCGCACCAGAGTCAGACTTCCGGCTTTCAGACCGGCGTTCACTTGGAGTTTGACCCACTCTCGAGGAACATCGACGCTTTCTGTGATTGTTTTCTTTTCGTCCCAATCGATGGCGCTGTAGAGCTCTTGCCGCTGCTCCTCTGTCATGGCAGTTTCCTCCGAATCCTCTTTCTTAGACCCCCATATCCATTCAGACCAAGTCTGCTGTCGTGCGGGCTTCTTGACACCTACGTTTTCCTTCCGTAGTTGATTTCTCGCCAGAGAGCGCCAGAATCGGATATCCTCATAACTCAGCTTCCTTTCCAGTCGGTTGAACTCTTCAGTATCCTCTGGTGCCATTACCTCTTCCCGCTTTTTCTTCTTGAAGAGGTCGATGTACGCGATCCGATCGTCTCTCCGTTCTCTGATGTAATCCCACGTCCATTGCCTGTTCCGATCATGGATTTTACTCAGCACTGCTTCTCCCGCATATCTGAACCAGGCTCTGGGATCCTCCTTCGGTTTCGATTTCGGCTGCAGTTTTTTGTATTCTTGATGGCGAATGTAGCAGTGGAAGAGGTCGACAAGCATTAGTCCATCCCGGTACTGTTCATCATCCAGAACGAACCCAATCTCGTCAAACAATAGCCTCGCATTGACGGCCGGTCGCTCATGACTTCCGGTTTTATCCATCTCTAGACCAGCGCGTCCACTGACTGGTCGCAGAATGAATTGATTCCCGTCCTCATTGTCGATGCCCGACCTCAACCTCTCCAAGAGCTCCGCATGATCGATGCCCTGTGCCTCTGCGCCGATGTCTGAGCCGCGACCTGTTCCAAGAAGATCGGCGTCTGTGTTCCAGTACACAGAAAGCGCACCCAAAATAGCCATCTTGTGTGTCGTACCCGAAGTTGACTGGATGAAAGTAGGTTTCCATTCTGAGTCTGTGCTCACAGCACTCAGCTCCTTCAATGTGAAACCGACAGCGAATGGGTGACCTGGGGAGGCTATCGAGTCTTCGTAACGGAAATGCACGTTTTTGATAGAAATCTGAAGATTGTCGATAACTGCAGTGACAAGGCTCTGGGTGAAACTCTGATTGCGCCGTTGTTCTTCCTGGCTCATCCCTTCCGCGTTGCGCTCTCTGAGAATCTCCGCGCTTTCGATCTTATCCATTTTAATTGCATTTGCGCGCCTCTCCTCTTCCTCCGGATCGTAATCTACGTCCTCTTTCGGCGCCGCGAGCAGGAATACATCCTCGATATCGACCTTGACCGGCTTCCCCCGCAAATTCGACCATGGTATTGACAATGTGAGCTCGCCAACATGGCCTTCGACGACGTTGAGCGGGAGATGTAATTGATCAAGAGCTTCCCGGCGCAGCTCCAGGTTCCGAAGCTTGACATCTCCAGACCAGATACCGATGTTTAGCTGCTTGGCATCGAAGTTCTTAACGTATATGCCCAGAAACCGGTTGAGCAGGTTGGCGACCAGGCCTTCCAACATGGTAGCGAGCTGCGGCCGTGTCCCAAGCCGGGAAGCTGTCTTAACGACGGGTCGCGAAGTATGATTATAACGAAACGGCTAGCTAGTATAAAGACAATTGTCAGTATCATAGAGGCAAAGGCCTAGTTAGGTCTAGACCGGCGAGGAGGGGCAGACGCGTAAGAGAGCACGGAAAAGCTGGTATACCTAATGCACATGGGCGAGGGCTAATTGCACTCGCAAAAGGTTAAGGAAAGCATCCACGAGGTCCTCGCTGGATAAGCATGCACGGGGCTACCGTAGGTGCTGTTCCAGCCGCAGGTCGAGAAGGAAATGGCGTTGCTGGTCAAGGCGGGATATCTATCAGGTCAAGGGAAGGAAGGGCTGAGCGAGATAAGGGAGACAGAGGAGCTTCAGCATCAACCAGGTCCTCCACGACAAGAATATATTGTTTCGACAAACTCCAAAATGCAATGATGGTGAATTGTTCGCTGTGCCTGGCAAAAAGGGGTGCCAGCTAAAGAGTGACGTCGATGCTGCTTCATCCGCTCTCCGCGCTGCCCGCTTTTTCAGGCCCCAACCGTCAAGTCCTGATGCAGTTTGGCGGCTAGGGCTCGAGACCTGTGCTGATAGCGGCGGAGCTCCCGATAGCTGCCGGATTGCGTTGCCTGATGGCCTAGGAGGCTAGGAGGCTAGGACAGGATCTGCGGGGCTGGTGCTTGTCGCTCTCCGAACCGGCCATTACCGCACCTCTGCATACATAATATCACCTCGCCCATTCGTTGTAGATTGCTATCAGCACCAGGAAATCTCCGCTCTTTCGAGTCAACCCCCAACAGCTACAAGGTGAGCACCTCGACTGCCGCTATCCTATATCGTCTGCCGCTTTTCTTGCCTCAATTGGTGTCAGGCGCCGTCCACCAAGCTCTATCCGGCCTTTCCAGCATCCGTTGCTAACGCAAGATCCCGCTGAAAAATCAGCTGCTCAGACGACAATGCTTTACCGACAAACCGCTGCGCGCTCTGTCCTCAGGGCTATCTCGAGCTCCAATGCCTCCGTGGCCCGCTCGTCGCTGGTGAACAATGTGTTCAAGGCTCAGTTGGCTACTGCCGCTCGCGCTCCCGCCCGCCCGACTGTGTCACCAAGCCTCGCTCTGGCTGCTCGCAAGCCTGTCACTACCGCTCTCGTCCGCTACGCCTCCACGTCCAAGGTGAGGGATCTGCCGCCGTTGGGTCAAAATCTGTGGTCAATCGCTGATCTGTGTTGTGCTTCAGAGCGACGAGGATGTTGATGTCATGGCTGGTATCAAGGGTGACGCGGTACGTATTAGCTCCATATGCTTCGTTTCCGAGTAGCTGGGAACATCTAGCGTCTTTTCCAGAGTTCAGTCCGGCTAATTGAGATCCGTGCCGTGGTGTAGAAAGTTATCAAGGAGACCTTCAGCCTTGAGGGCGTCCCCAAGGACGCTCTTTACCTCGGCATGGCTGGTGTGATCCCATACCTCGCTACTTCATTGGAAACCGTTTACCTCGCCTACGAGGTCAACCGCGCTCATGCTACCGGTGACGGTCTGATCTTCTCCGGCCAGAGCGCCGAGATGATGCTGCACATGCTCGAGCACGTCCAGGTCGGATACGGTGCTGTGGTGAGTACAACCAAGACCTGCTAAACACGACATACGCTCGTGAAATTCAAAACCCGAGGATTAATCAATCGCGGCACAGATCCTCTCCTTCCTCGGAGCTGTCCACTGGGGTCTTGAGTGGGCTGGATACGGCGGTCGCTCCGGCTACAGGCGCTACGCTGCCGGTGTCATTGCCCCCGCCGTTGCCTGGCCTACTCTGCTGCTCCCCGTTGAGCACGCTCTGATCACCCAGTTCCTCGCCTTCACTTTCCTCTACTACAATGATGCCCGTCTCTCTGTGAAGGGTCTCGCCCCCAAGTGGTACAGCATGTACCGCTTCGTCCTTACCTTCATTGTCGGTGCCAGCATTGTCGCCACCCTTGTCGGTCGTGAGCAGATCTCTGGCATTGTCGCCAAGGAGCACAACATCTCCGACAAGATCAACGCCCTTCTCTACCTCCAGAAGAAGGAGGAGGAGGAGGCCGCTGCTCGCAAGGCTGAGCAGGAGGAGGATTCCGAGTAATTGCGTTGCCATATAGGTACGTAAACTTGTCAAAGTGATTTTTAGATGTGTGGGGTTTGTGGCTGTAGATACCAGCAGCAGGGTGACAGTAGAGAGATGTCTCTAGTCCCTTTTCTTTGTCATGCTCGAGTTTCTTGTAGATTACGTGCGAATCAACCCAGTGGAACCTGGTGTTTTCTTTTGTTGAGCCATGCAGTAGTATCAAGCTTTGTTGCTATCCATTCGGCTGAAGGTAGAGAGGTATATATACTAGGAACGGTGCACAAAATTCAGGAAAAATTTACCAAGGCTCCAACCACCACAAGACATGAGAATAAGTCTCACCGGAGTCATGTAGCATCCATGCCAATCATAAGAGCAAGACAGTTTTCTCCGACAGCTGCTCGGAGATAAATGCCAACATAGTCGGATATCCGGTACAACCCCAATTCTGGCGCCCAATCGCCCACCAATTTCGGTTCAGCGATTGATAAGATCCGATCATTCTCACATCATCGCCCTCCACAATTCCGAAGCTCTGCCTATATTATTAAAACTTATTATTTCCCCCCACCTTAAATCCGAAAACTGATACATAGACTACCTACCACTCCTCTCGCCGATCCCACCTCATCCCGAAAATAAGCAAAAAAACAGAGAGTGAGCAAGGTTACCTAAAAAGATGCAGTCCCTCCTCCGCCGCGGCGCGTCCCTCTTCACACCCTCCCCCTCCCCCTCACCGGCGCAGTCGAAACCCTCCACACCTGCCCGCGAAATTCGCAGCGCAGAGGACTTTGTAAAAGCGCCGGCTCCCGAGGAACTATTCAGCAAGACGGACCCGGCGACAGACGGCGAGGATTGCGAGCACGATTGCGCAACCTGTACGATCAAGTACCCCGCGAAGTTTGACGTGGACCAGGAAGATGAGCTATATGGGCATGTAAATGGGTGGTCGACGCATCTGCTTGTTGCGACGGGCAAGACGGACTGGGTGAGGGATGTTGCGGATGAAGAAGGGAGTGTGATGGAAGCTGTTGAACGAGGTGGGGTTGTGCCTTCGAATGGGGTGAGTCTCTTCCACATTCATGTCACAAGATAGATATGAGGGATGAAATAGGGATTGAACCGAGGCTAATGGCGTTGGGTGCACAGAAGTTGAAGCTGTCCGCGAGTAATATGCCGGTTCCGGATGAATACCATTATCATGAAAAGGGCGAGCAACCGACTACGGTGCTCCTTTTGCCGAGCTTCACGATCATCGACCATGTCACCCCGAAGCTTGTGCCGGATTTGATCAGGAATTTCGTCGACCCTGCTGTGACAAACACAACACCGTTGAACGGGGCGCTAGCCAACGTCGAGAATCCAGAGGGAACCATGACAGAGGAGCAGGTTATGACATCTCTCCGGTCACGTCCCTGCCCGCACGCGGCGGTA